AGTTCCCAAACCAAGACGACCACCCAATCGGGCCTCAGCAGCGCTTAGTCTACCTACCTGGGCGTTCATATCACCAGCAACCACACGATATCTAATGCAGCTGAGTGTGACGCAGGGCGAGCAAATTATGGTACTAAAACATCACCGACAACGAAAAATAACCTATCGTGTAATAATAGCAAACAGTAGAACTGAAGTCGCTAGTCTGCGAGACTGCAAAAAGCTGGTGGTGTGAATCTGCTCTCACCTCACAGGTTAGTAGGTAATGAACCATGTGTTCCTTCGGTTGACAACCACAGCACTTAGTGGGGTTACATTAATGACCCCTCACTGATTGCCCCGACGAGTGCAGGTTACTTCAAACTACGAAGGATGCAAGTCGATCCACAAACCGCAAAGAAGTTAATTTGTTAGCAGGCTTATGCAACGGAATCAATAAAAGAAATGCAGATCCGAGATGATGGTGCTTTATTGGGTGGGGTGCAACTCTGGGAGAAATTCGTCCATAAAAATTGACCATCATTATTTGCTGCGGGCAGTGTGAAATGATGATAAAAATTACTGGTCCCACTTAATTCGTGGGTGCAGAATACCGATGATTAGCAGTACAGTTGTCCTTGTATGAAAATACCGATGATTAGCAGTACAGTTGTCACTTGTATGAAAGATGACCCCCCCACACCCGAAAAGAACCCGAAAAACTATGACTGCTTATGCGTGATCACTGTTGAACATAACCTTGCCACGAGCATGCAAAGGTAATGACAGGGGTAGTTAAAGGAATAAAAACCCAAAAAAGCCGGCATCATATTCAGTAGATTCAATAAGTTAGATGGGGCGAAAAGACCAGAGTACGAGCTTCTCCTCATCTTGATTAATTCTATCACCCATCGACTGTTCCTCGAGGATTTGACAGTTATCAACGAAGGTGCATTACGACAAGAAGACGACATGCCTTTCAGAAACTGTCATACTGTCATTTTTATAACCAAAGGCTCATAAGATCCGGTAACGATTCCCAAACATGCACAGCCTTGCCTAGTAGATCGCGTCCCCTCAACTTAGATAAGTAAGGCTGACGACCAAACAAATAAACGCTTCAATTATATCAGGCAAGCGTGAACTCTTAATACTCACTGTGTGGTAGCCAAATTACGAATCTCAACGAACCGGAAGACGATATGGGCAGCATAGTTTAGGCTCACAGAACTCAGGTCGTTATCCCATCTTCCTGAGTCAAAAAGTGCCAATCGGTAAAAAGCCTACCTTGTGTCTGATATCAGGGCTAACTAAGAGGAAATATCTCCCCAAAGCAGCAGGTACACCATAGAAGACAACCCATGTCAGCTGACACCCAAATAGATAAGTTCGAGAACCCTGAAGAATGAAACCCTGAACGGTAGGATGCCAAGTACGAAGCAGTGCCGGAGAACGATGGTAATGATTCCGGTGAAATAATCCGACTAGGAGTACAAGTAAACGGATGCCACGAACGTTGGTCTGTAGCATCCCAACCATTGCTTGTGTGTAGGACTGTTATTCTTAGTATAGTAATTATTCAGAAACTCTGTCCGGTAGAAGTGCCCAGCTGAACTCTTTGTGCCTTAACTACGGTGAAGTAGGAGTTGCATTGCTGCGAAACAACACGTTCGGTTCGGTTGTAAGTATCATTTCCAGAATGCATGATGCATAGCTTAAAATAAGATGTGGAATGAGAAGCGCGCCCCGGACAGGATAAAACGTAAAGATTATTGAACGACAAGAGTTCCGTAATATTCGTTAGTGGACTATAAGAATTCACACTTCATTCACGTGCACAACTCGAAGAAAACACACTGCAAGCAGGCGCTAGAAAACAGGCAGGTGCTGTAACAATGCGTGTATCGGTTAGCCCGTTGCCCACAGCAAACTTGCCGCTGTTCAACAACAGGTTCGGACAAACACTCACCATGTATCAAACCGTGTTTGCATACCAGTTTATGACGTGAAACGAACGAACAGAAACGTGAGCATATCGTCCAAATGGATCGAAATTCAATCGAACAAAATAGCTTAGCACGGTCCAACGAATGGGCCAAAGGTTACTACTTCTGCACAGAGAACTACCCAAACAAGATAATTTATGTGTACTGTACTTAGTTCGTCCTAGTTAGAGTGAAAACGCTATAAGCATCTGCCGCGAGTGGTTACGTGTGGGCTTGCTAGGTTTGATATTCGGATTTCATCTTCCAAGTAGAAAAGCTGGAAGCAATACATAATTGTTTCAACCTCGTTAGGAATCAGCAGCTGCGGCCACATTACTCGAATGACCGCTCTTCCATCCTAATAGTAGCGTTCTAGTGAGCCACCAAACCAAAGAGGCGCCGGACACGAGTTCCAGTCTTATTAGAGCTCTTCAGTAGTGTTCAACCTTGGCCGCACTGGGATATGAAGTCAGGAAAGACGAGGCGAAAATGTTAGCACCGTCTCATCAACGCATGAATTATGTCGAAACCGGTGAAAATGTTTGTGTTGGAGCGATATGTGGTCATCCCGACACTCCAGGAATCCACAATCAAGTAACCGACATGAGTATAAGTTCTACAGTTTTATCAACTACCTACCAGTAAGTACAGTCCAAGTGAAATTCTGAGGAAATTCAGATCCGAAACATTCCAGGCATAAGGCTGAGCAACATGATTCAGATAGTGACCATTGACTAGTCGGGATCGACTGGGGCTTACATGCGCCATTTGTTCTTTGTTCACAGCTCGCTTCAGGTAATATGGTTGATTTCTATATCAGACGAACGGATTTTATATTGAGTATACAGCCTGGATACGAATAATGTTGTACCGCACACCAGTAATAACAAGCAACTGTGGGACCGAGATAGAATGCTTAAAACCTGCCCCAATGCTACCGGCATACTGGATGTAAGCTTTCGATTAGAGAAATGAATTCAGTGCCACGGCGCGTTCGAATGGGGTTTGGTCACTGAAACAAGAACGGCCGGCTGAACAGTGTTGTTCGAAAAAAAAGCAAGTCGCAACAAAACTTACGTGCAGCACACATCTGGTCTACCCTCACAGTCACAAATAGGAGAAAGCACATCATTCAGGTTCTGGTATAAATCCTACTGCGTATATGAGTCATCAAGTGGATGAAATAGATCAAGTTACTGGACAACAAACAGATCACAGCAAACTACTTGTTCCGACTGCGACAAGCTTATTCAGATACAATAACATAAACAGGGCGGTAGTTAGCCGTAGCACCGTGGGGACATGCTTGTGGAAAAGAAGACGATACAATCGGGGGCAATAAAAACAAGCGCGAAATTTCCGGAAATTCGAGTTACTACACATTTGGAAGCCACCAAAATATAAATGATCTTGAAGCGGAAATGAAGGCTAAACAACAACCATACCTGAAAGATCCCTCTGCGTTGTTTCGCTGCTTCAGATCCACGACAGGAGCGATGGATGGACGAGCGCTGAAATTGTCACGTCGGCCCTGGGCGCGTTTGGCAGCCATATGAGATTGCATAAACTTCATGCTATCAAAGTGGGATTAGAAGCCAAGTACAGAATCTTATTTGAGGAGTAACGGAATACTACATAAAAATGGAACTGGTATTTCAGGTGTTTCATACCTGGTCGCAGCATTTGTGTTGGCAATTCCTGTACCGTAGACATCCAGGGATTCTGACTCTGAAGTGTTCCAATTCGCGGCCACACGGAGACCAACTAGTGGTACGGAGGATGTGGTATTCGTTTCTGTCGCACTTAGTGGCGTCCCATCTAGGACGTCTAAGTCATCATATAAACTGGCAGCCATGGCAGTCGAGGAATTTCAGAACTGGATTGGTGAGTAGTTCAGAGGCAAAGGAGATATACGCTCACAGTGGCAACACCCAAACTTTCAAGCTATAGCGAGATAAAGAATAGAACCAATGAATTGAGCTGAGGCATAACATTCAACCACTGACAAATTCCAAGAAATCTAACTGATAGTCAATTGGGAGTGTCCAGCTGGACGTCACGACATAGGGGGTGCTACCTTTCCGGAGAACAACTGGGGACTCTCAACGACGAGGTGGAATAAAATGACCCTCATGTCACCTCTTGTCACCAGAAAAAGGAGGGTGCCACAGATTACTCAGATCTAACAGTTTGTCAGTGGTTCAGGGTGGCGCCCATACTATGCGTTCCTGAAGCGTCATCATCTTGTTTTACCAGACACTACGACCAAGCCCAGGGAGTCGCTGACAAGGCGAAAACATTTGGAGAGGCGATGAGGTCTATAAATCTTGGCAGACGAACAAGCGAACAACCAATGTGAAGCGATTGAGGAGCCCTACGATAAATCAATATGCCGGGCTAGATAACGGAGGGTAATGACTGAAAACAATGACTGAGCGAAAAGATACTTAGGAGTGTGTTTTTCATGTCCACTCAAAGCTTATTGGGTTCACATTGGTGAACCCTTTGTGGTTGGTTTGTTAGTCCCATGCTGCTGATGCGACATATAATAGTTGAGAGCCCATCCGATCACTATGTATGGTAACGTATCCTCGCTTCATGTTCTATTGTGTCTTCCCCCGCACTAGATATTGAAGCAACAGAACCACTTTACTCTAAACATCGGATGCACTGTCTTCTCTTTCCCAAATGGAGCAATAACAGACGACAAATTCGAGGAATACAGTTAACTTCTATATGAAGATACGCGCCGAAGCCATACAATGCAAACATAATACTACGTATAAGAGACCATTGTCCGGCGATTAAGCTTTAAAACACATGCAACGGTGAGGGTCACTTATTTTTACTGGCCAATGCTTGGTTTTGGTCTCAAACCCCCTTTACTTGGGGGAGAGGGACAGTAGATATTTGCGATCTTCAAATACACACCGTTTCAAAGATCGTGGTCATTCGTTCGTATTGGCATTGACCAATCATTTAGCGTTAAGTTGCCTTCGGTTTCATTGCTTAGATAGTGCAAAAGCTAATTTGAGTACAATGAACTTCTAGTTCACAGTTGGAGATGGTGCAAAAACTAACGTGCAGTCTACCGGTTTCCAGTTATCCCAGAGTGTGGATTGCTGCTGAATGAAACTGGATGGCCTGGAGACGATAAACAGTAAGTACGCTACATCTGGCGCAACATGGTTGAGTTTAGTATGCATCAGTAGACTTACGATATGTTGCCTGAGTGGGTGGTTTGTGCTACCGCTGTTACGAGACATCCCGCAGCCTTCCTGTTGATCTTACGAGCCCTAGAGCCGATAGTCGACATTTTAGAGTCCCTACTGCGCAAAGGATGACGAAAAAGGACCTTCTGAAGCTCACATACTTTCGAAGGCGACGGTAAGTGGTCCAGAAGGGATGTAATTTGGTAGTTCACTAGAAATTACTTGACACTGACAGTGGCCGAATAATCATATTCCTCTGAAGCGGTTTTCACAAGACCACGACGGTAAACACCCAACTATATGATGTGGTATTGCGTCTCTCAGATGACCCACCATAAAGTACAGTGAATATCTCAATCTTGCGGTTCAATAATGACAATCCAAAAATATTATTGTTATAGGTGCGCACCTCAGGCACATAAAAAATATAAAGAAGCGGACAAAACCGTGTGAGAAATAACCAATTGCCCTGTGCACAAGTGCTCCTAAAAGAGGTGCTAGATGCAGTTGGCGTTGGCATCATAGTACGTACTGTCACACAAGAAAAACCTGCGCAGTAATTTGCTAGTTTGAATATGTGCCAGACAAATGATTGATGTGTATTCGAGCAGCAGATCTAAGGATCAATGCTTGCGTTGAAACGTCTAGCTAAACAATCGAATCACGGTACTCTGAAAAACAAACATTCCCAAATAACTACATTCGAACTTATCGTAACTAAATTTAAACATCACTTTGCGTGAGATATTGAAGTCAATAATGTTAATCGCTTAGCTTCGATAATCATATGAACAGCAGACACACAAATCTAGCCCACATCTACACTTTTTAACTGCTGTATGACATGAAATCCGAGACTGCCTTGCGTCTCCTCCCCCGAAAATCCAAAGAGAAAAAGAGATCGCGGATAACAACAACAAACAATTCTAATCTAAGCACCCCTGAGAACGTCTTCAGGAGACTCTTGAGTGACGAACCATGGTGAAAACAGACAGACTGAATAGGACGCAGCAAGATAGGCTAAACTGACTTGGGTAGTGGTGTGGAAAATCAAATCTGTCAACGGGTAGATCAAATGGGACTAAACAACTGCAAAAAAACATCCGCGTAAGAATTGATTTAACGTCAGTGGCGATCAGTCAGACCAGTGTACAGCACAACTACAACTGGGCCGGCGCTAAAAATAGTCTCTATGGTACCAAATATAAAATGTATCCGCCAATAGTTGTAGTGTGATGGAACGAGAAGAGACTCACACAAGCACACGGAGAGAGCTGGACGACAGGTGTCTTGACAAGATGTATAATTAAATTGGAGTGAACACACTTCAGTTCATCAACTTTGAGTGGATTGTCCACCCATACAATGCAGGCAACAACGTTAGAAGACCGCTCTGATTGTTAGGTATGTAACGAGTAAATGACTGTCCAACAGTTTTAGGCTTGGTGAGAGCGTAAGGCCTGCCCACATTAGGGACTGATTCGTATACCAGAGCGAATAAAACTCAAGGAAAGTGAACGGGTATTCAAGTACACAGACGCCTGAGTGGTTTGACAACTGTGACTTAGATATATCGCTGATCAGCTTTGGCAGATCTCGGAAAATTCTTCCGTTTGTTGCCAGAACGAGGATGTTAAGTATAATTAGTCCCTCGTAAATACATTCCGAGCACAATATGTAAGACAGTGGCAAGTCCCTCACAACAAAAACAATAAAGCTGTGGAACAGATCTTTTCCAGATAAGCCCCGCCACTAATCCAAAAAGTGCATATGCAAAAGGTTAAGCCCCGCCACTTTTTGCCAGCTCCAATTTAATGTACGCACACAACCTTGGCCTATTTTTGATGAAAACAATTCCTCATCCGCATCTAGACTCATTTTGTGCAAAAATTTTCTCCGGACGCAAAACCTCAAACGAACTTTTTGACCCTCTCGACTCTCATGCATGACTAGGAGACGACAATACGTCTTTTTCAAAGCTACGGAGTGATCCATCAGCAAAGTTTATGCAACAATGGCCATCAAATGACACCTTCAACTGTTTCTGACAAGCGGAGGTGTAATGCCTGACAGTGTCAGCAAGAAATCGGTCTTCGAAAGGGAGCTTGGCTGCAGCGATCTAGGACAGTAATTCTATTCATCTATTACTGGTCCAAAAATTTGGCAAAAATCAAATTCTGCCCATAGAAATTATCTATTAGCCACACGACCCCTGTTGACTAGAAGAACTTTCTTCGCGAAGTTTGCGCCTGGCGGCTTTTGCAGAGTCCAACAGTTATCGACGGCCCAGGTCTACACGTCGAGATCGATGAGACGCTAATAGCCCACCGTAAAAACACACAGGACGAGTCCTTCCCCAGCAGTGGATTTTGGGGGGGGGGGGATCCGCCGGGAAACTAAAGAGGTGTTCATGTATGCAGTGTCAGATCGAACTGTGACTACTTTGATGAACACAATCCAGGCCTGCATCGCTCCTGGCTCAATCATCATCTCCGATATGTGAGCATCATACCAAAGAATTGAAACGATGATTGACATGAGTTATACTCATGAGACGGTTAATCATACCGAAAACTTTGTGGATCCAACGACTGGAGCTCACACACAAACCATCGAATCTCTTTGGCACGTCTACAAGATGCAGAGTAAACGCGAATGTGGCACACACCGATCTGTAGTGAACAGCTACTTGTGAGATCGTTTGGAGGCAAAGGCATCGAAAAACGGACGTTTTCATGCAAATTATTGATGACATGTCCCAACTTCATCCTCTTTAATAAAAACTAAAAGTATAAATTTCATACCCTCTTTTTTCTAATCTTTTTTGGGTAGCAGGGTTTAATTTTTTGGCGGGGCTTATCTAGAAAAGACCCCCGTGGAACACACCACGTAATTTCAAGGCCATATCAGAAAGAATGTCACCGCGGCAAACGAAGTTATGGTTTACGACACGCGAAAAGCCACAACTGTTGCACCAAGTCGGGCAATTTGAATCTCAAAAATATCAATGAAACTGAAGAGTTCTTATAGGTGTCGCTAACAACACCCTGCCGTTTGTACTCACAAAATTGATGATGTGAGAGTATGAGCACAGCCCCTTGACCGCTCCCCTAAAATGGCAATCTGTCGAAGTGACCAACGGAGTAAGACATGCGGTGAAAAGTGAAATCCTAGCCACACTGTTGCTCCTGTCCAAGACTGCTGAACCTTACACTATCACAGCCGTCATGCTTAGATTTTTTTAACGTTCAGCTGTAACAACCTTTCGGTGTATAGTTGCTACGATAACTGAGGAAAGCACGGGGGCTGAGATACTGTCAGACTGCACAATTCTCCACCAAGTCATAAAGCAGTTACGCACTTGAGGAACGTCACGGCCGAACAGCACGTTTTATGAGGGTTTTTACAAGCGTATCACAAACGTACAGGATGTGCGAAACCTGAGAACTCACACGACGCCAAATCAACTTGTCCTAGACAGAAACAATCGAAAAGTAAAAGGCAGGCTGCAACCAACTCCGACTTCCGTGATAGGAAAACACCAAAAAAAATTCAAGTGATAGTTGAGAACGAAGACTGCCGAACACCAGCAGGAAGACGGGCATCATTCTTTCCAGAGAGAAGCAACCGACACCTTCTTGATGGATCTCTGATCACAAACACGCTCGAAATAGCCCAATGGTAAAGGCACCAAATTACGGACCAGAAGGTCTGTGGTTCAAATCCAACCTCACCACCTTGACTGCACCTGTCTAAACTCAGTCAAACTAGCAGTAGCTCAGCCCTCGTTCCTCCTTCAGGTGGCATAGAAGATAGAGTGGTAAAGTTTAACGGTTGCTGCTATTGCGTACTGAACCGTGCATTCAATAATCGACAAATAATCAAAATCAAGAAGACTGTGCAACCCCACAGTCATCGTTAGTAGCAGCAGTATATGCTACTACGCAGTCTGCTGCATGGAAGTAGCAGTACAGAAAGGATGTGGAGAAGCGAATGAACCTTAGGATAGATTTCATGTCTTTTCCAACTGCTCCAGTGAGCGCAAAGTCAGTGAATATAAAATGTCAATCATCATAATCAGCTATAAGAACCCCATTGCTTGTCGTACAGTGGTTTTAGCAGTCCCGTTCGCAGACGATTTGAGGAGGTGGGGCAGGTAGCTGCGCATTGAAAGCAGTAGATGATATAATTGATGCATCAATAGAGAGTTGTCAGTGGGTTCTAATTAGGGAGACTGGAAAGGGAGCTTCGAATCGAAGGCAATAGCTTGGATGCATGGGCAAAGCTCAGGGCGTGACCAGGCCATGTTTGACGATGTCTCTAACTGTCGATGTGTGCCGTCTCGGGGTCCCCATCCAGGAAAACAGCAATGAACAGCGTACCTGAGTTTACTAGTAATGGATTTGATAGCTTGCCGTCAAGTTATTGTTTGACCTCCTCTGGCTCGTTTCCACACTTCACTGGGTTGTGTGAAAAGAGCCTTTCGAGGAACTCGGTCAGTTGGCATACGCAGCACGTGGCCAAGCCAGCGCAACCTATTCAGCGTGATTGGTTCAGCCATCGTGGGTGAGTTAACTCTTCCGAAAACCATTCGACGTACTTCAGCAATATGGATTCGTTGTCAGAAGAAGCAACTGTGTATTATCCCTGGATGAAACTGGACCCCAATTTAAAAATACCCGGCACTAACCATACAAACAACGTCCTCCTGGGTCAAATCCTACGATCGGTCTGCAACGATGTCAGGATGAAGGTATTCTTAACCTGTGCAACCGAAACAGGAAAACTCAGTCGACTAGACGGTGGAAATCTTTGGATGCCTCGGATCTCTGATCTTATCCATGGTTCGGGTCAATGATAAAGACAAACACCATCTCAAACAATACCGAAAAACCTTCGTTGCGACCGAAAAATACTGTGGTATAGACAGGAAATCGGTACCCGTTTCGGTTTTGTCCGCTCAATTCTACTTGATAGACATGGAATCGCGCTATTACAGGAAAGCTTGGAGCACCTGACCACTAGTGATTGAAAATAATCACTAAAGCACGACAGGGCGATCAACTGTCTAAGCTTGACATCTGTCACCAATGCTCCGGAATGAAACGACTCGCTGGGCACCCTCAAGAACTCACACCACAACGGTTCGAACATGTCTATCGCAAAACGGAAAACGAACTCACCATCATAATCGACAGCAACACCGGTGCTGCACTGCCACACGAACATGTCGATTTATTTCAATAACGCCATGTGATCGAAAGAAAGATATGGGGGAGGGAGGGGGATCTAGGCCTAGCCTGCACAAACACCCGAGTATTCAGTCAGACAATATGGACAGAAACTGACAACACTCACACCGGATGGGCGAACTTAGTCGTAATTACCAAAAGAAGTAATGGTGTTCGTCGATGGACACAAAACTGGTTCGGGACATCCACAGGCCCTGAAACAAACAGCCGCAAGAACACGGAAACAGTTCGTTAAATACATCCCATCACAGAAGCTAGCCCTAGCACAGTAGAACTGACAGTCCTTTCATGTGTCCAAGCTGTTGCACACATCGGACCGGAATACCAGGCACATTGTTTCATTCTAGCTATAGGTGACCTTTGCAAGTACGGAAACATATTTTAGGGTATTTTACACAATCAATGTGTCAGAACCACGGCCTGTGTAGGCAGAAGTTTATGAACTTGCGGTGGCAAACTAAGACCATTTTTTGCTAACTGTCGAATACATAACACCTAACACGTAGTGTTAGGTGTTATGCACAATCAACTGAAAAGGTTTCGTGATATGCAACACGTGTGCCTAGGAGCTTTCAACGCGCGCGCACACACACCTCACCTTAGACCGTCTTTATAGTGTAGTTGCACACTCAACTCCTTGTTACAAGTGCGGCATTCTGTCCTTATGAGCTGCAGATATTTTTTTACTCCCAGTGCTCGAAATCCCTTGTGTGAGGATTACTTCAAGCGTTTTGCGCAGCAGGTGAGAAGTTCTGAAGCGTGGCGGCCGCATTGAAAGGTGAGGTTAGCCTATTCTTATGGCTTTCGAAACCAATTCGAAGTAACCCCCATGATGCGTACAATTCGTTCATCCGGGTCGAATAGGTGAAACACATTGAATCTTGAGAGCGTCCAATCATCCTTGCTAAGGGCTGTCATAATTCGACCGTTTGTGACCCTAGCATATATGAACTAAGACCAATCTGAAAGTACTTCTCAGAGAGACTCACAGAATTAAAGCCTAAATTCTACTTTTAAACCTACTAGCCACCGGTAAATTTGAAAAAAAACTTACTTCTATACGAAGGGAAAGAACTGAAACGGAACTAATCAACAACAGGCACGTGATATAAACTGTGTGGTTAAAGAAAATTGCTGAGATATCCTGTCTAAGTGTAACTTAACTCCATTTATAAACAACTCATGTCCAAATGGCGACCAAACGTTTGAGTCTCCCTAAAGCTAATTCCTAACACGGATGGACAAAACATCAGTGCAATACGTGGATTTTCACTTGTGGGATGGAATCTCAAATGGAAGTTCAAAATCCTTTCAGCACCTTCAATAATGAATAATAATCGTTCGGCAGTAAAACTCTTTCGGCGCATAACTGCGATGGTACCCGAAGGGAGCACGAAGGCTGATATGCTGCCACGCTGTCCCAGCCTAGACAAGAGCAGTCAAGATGCAGAGACTGGATCCGAACCACGGACCTTCCGGTCAATAAATTCGTGCCTTAGCCACCGATCCATCTAGTGGATATGGTCCAGAATGGCTGTAGGCGGGACACTTGTTCAACCTGTTGTCCCCGTTTTATTACCCTGAAGTTTCCGACATTTCACTTTATTGGCATTCTTTATGATGACCCCACGAACTGTGTTCACAATACGCAAGTAGGGACAACATGAGGACAATGGTTACCTGGATTAGTGTTTCGTACTGAAAACGACCGCGAGCTTTGAAAATCCAGGACAAAACACCTAAAACGAAAAACGCATCGGTTATAGCAGCTATAACCGTAGAATGAAGGGCCCCGAAGCAAACTAAAGAATCCGAGTTACATTATTTAGAGAAAGGATGGCGTCATTTTTCCACTAAAAATAGTATCGAGCTGAGGGTTTGTAGTTCTGCAGCAGCACAGTCCCCATAGGAAACCTTCAACAAAATGTATCTAATTAGTTAGCACCACAACGCAACAGAGATCACAAACGGACCAATAGATTTACTAAATTTGTTACACTTCAGGTAGCCAATCACGTCAGATAACAGATGGCCTTCGAATGCTATATAAACGCATGCAGGCAAGGATGAAGTACCCACCCAACTGCGCACTGATGATGTCTCCTCGTATGGTGACGAAACGTTTGCAAGCCAATTGCCAAGCTCGGCGAACAGATCAACAGCCACCTAATCAACCAAAAAACTCACCCGAGCTACCAATATTTCAGCATTACTAACTAGTAAGCTGAAGTAAAATTTGCTACCAAACCGAGGCCAGAACACACAATTAATTCACAACGCCAAAAGGACTCTAGTAGATCGATCCGGAAAGACAAGGGTCCAACCATACGCTACTAAAGGGAAAACCTCCAAACGAAATAGATAAACTCATCGAAATGTAGAGTTATAGGAGCCTATGAAGCTTAATAGATATCATCTAATATGGTAAACCGGAGGCGCCTCAAGACAGGTGACCACTTCCTGCTGAAAGGGTCCCGTCAAAACATTGTAAACTCAAATAAAGATAGGCGCAACACTGAGCTGTCTGCAAACTAATACAGTGCACAACTATTCACTCATCGGATCGACCATTTAGACGATAATAAGCTCTTCGACTCACTTGCGTTTGGGATACACATTAATGATAATAAATGTATCGACATGCCCAACAAATAACCCCTAAAATGGCAACAGCATAAGTTTAAGGCAAAATCAGACAGTCACATACATCAGAACAAAACAGGATTCAATCTGAATAGGTAATATTTTTCAACGGCATACCTGGCAAAAAGGCAACTGTTCGTCTTGTCTGAATCACAAAGCAAGAACGATGTGTGTGCGTGTAGTAATCACGGAAGAAAATCGTCAAAACGAATCGGAAATGGAAATAATAATTGTTCCTATGCCGCACACAAAAAGGCGAACAGTACATATCAGATCTGTCTGTATCCACGTTTAAAAGGAACAGAATGAAAAGAAGCACAAATACAGATACACAAACCGGCGGAGGGTGCGCGTCAGGAAGACGCGTGATCTCGGATGCACGGAACAGTACTTGTCGAACAACAACCAGGCACCGAATTACTCTGTTTAAATCCATTTGAAATACACCGGGTGTGATGCTCACAATCAGTGGCAGATCATTCTTCAAGTAAACAGATTCAGTGGTAGATGGCCGGAGAGAGTAGTCCCAAGTGGAGAAATGCAAATTAGCGCAAGAAAGAACTTTGCATATCGTTTGTTCGCGATGTCGTATTCACGTGCATACGGCAGAAGTAATAGGAGTAACACCATAAAAGGCGTCGGTGGGTAGCCGAGGTGAGTACGCGAAATGGGACATACAAAAACGTTGCGTCCCACAACAGACTAGCATTTGTGTGCACAGAAAAAAGGGAGTCAAAAGTACACCTAATGCAGCAATGCAACGTTTCCAAAGTGAATCTGGATTGAAGAAACATTCCGACTGTACAACAATCACGGGAGACATTCTGAATGCGGGGTAAAAATGCACATTAGGATGGAATCATCCCTCACTCGCGCACCTGGGCATGTGAGCACGTGGTTATTCCAATGGGACTTGGTTGAAAGCTTGAAATCGTTAGTGGAAGCAATCATAGCATGTCATGGACAATGCAGACCGCGCACAAGTGAGTCTGAAAGACCATCCCGGTGACGTAATGATTATGTTACAAAGTGTGGCGCAGCGACCATTCATTCATATCACGTTGTAGATTACACAGATATTTCAAACGTGCCGTCGGGGGATGTACCGTCCTGGTCAGGGGTCCAGTCTGGGTTTGGATTGGGTACCATAACATGCGCACTTTCGTACTACCACAGATTTAGAAGCGCGGTGATGAGGGGGTAAGGGTGGTGGTGGACAGTTGGAACCGTGTCGGTTGGTGAAACTATTACCTGGTGGATCACCTAGTGATCCGTGGAAATCTTGTGGGTAGTGCATAAGCGATGAGTTGGCTGTCGCTGAAAAGTTGGCAATATCCGTGTCTTCTAACATTCTCACACGCTCAGAAACGAGAAGGCGGTTTGAGTTGTGTCCAGTGGAACGGTCTTTCTCTAAATGTGATGTATGATGCCCTATGTTGGGTGCACCATGTGGAGGTATGGCAGGAGGCCACGACGGAATGCCTTGCATTGAGCTAAGCTGTCCACCGGAAGCAGAGTAATCAACATTACCTGAAGAGTATTGATAAAACAGCCCTCGTTGCTGTTGTTGAAGATTCGATCGTTGGGTTAACTTGGAGGAATCTGGAGCCTTTTGACCCTGCGAAATCAACGTTCGGTTGCCCGATCGATGGGCATCCGCTACGTGGACACCATTATCAGTACCTTTGATCGCATATTTTGGTGCAGCAATGTTACTTGAAGGCGCCATTTGAAGTCCGCTAAACGTTTGCTTACCAAGAGTCCCAGACGGAACGGCGACTGTTCCTGCCGATCTGGATCGCGATTTCGGCGAGGATTGCTGAAATTTCGTCGGGTTGGGGCCGATCTGGATCGCGATTTCGGCGAGGATTGCTGAAATTTCGATCGGGTTGTGCCTAAATCGGCCACAACAAAACTGGGTGATAAATGGCGATCTCCAGTAGACTGGACACCGGTGGGTAAATACGAAAACGTGACTGGGGCATACGGTTTCTCCCGGAGATTACACAACGATGAAGAGGGATGAGCTGAGATGGCTTTTCCCCCTAAAGGCAGGTTACTGTTTACCGTTTGCAAACGGGGCAAGTCCCTGGAAGAATCGCGTCCCACTCCAGAGCCATGGATCGGAGGGTGTGGTGCGTAGATGACAGGTGGAGGATGTGTTTCGGAAGTGTAGAGTTTAGGCGATGCCCATTGTTGTTCATAAGTGGTGTACAATAAATTGGAAGGTCGGCGAAATTTCCTCCCACCTGATAGATTGTCAACGGCTTCCGGTGTGTTACTCGACATGAGAAGTGGTGTAGATTGATCACCTGCCATTGATAGGTAACCTGTCGTCCCCGTGTCTGATTGAACGTACAGTCCATTGGCCACGCGAGAAAAGTCAACGTTTGACAGAGGAACCGGCGATTCGGATGTATGTGCCACAGAACGTGGCAGCTCAGAAGCGGATGGCTTTGCCAGCACTGCACGTGACAAAGTTTCGGGGGTTGTGAAACCATGCGGAGCAGAAATTTTTGCCGTTCGGGATTCCAACACAGCGGAATTCTGTCTGGAGGGTTCCACTGAAGTGGTGGCAGGCGGAAGAGGTGACGGAAGTGAAGCAGACACAGGTGGGCTAGCTCCTATTCCACTAAGAGACAATGCAGTATCATTCGAGCAGTCACGTTCCTTTTGAAGCTGATTCAGGTGATCTACATCTTCGCTGCGGGTTGTAGCGTCTGTTGCAGACTGTGAATGACCGTCAAAATATTCTCCAGATTTGAACGCATGTTGCTGATAGAAAAAGAGAAGAAAAATGGGGAATAGGTCACAAGTTGTGAATGGGTAGCGGAAAAAAGAAACGACGTCCTCTATTACGACCGATCTAGTTCCAAGTATTGGAGGGACGCTCAAACTACTACCTCGCGCAACGTATACACTTCAAGAGAATCCCTCGGCAAACGATCCGTTTATAACCTCAGCTGATTGCAAAGCGTCGAAAATAACTCAGAACAATTTGTTCGCTGAGCCACTTGGGGCGAGATGGCTCAGTAGTTAAAGCCAATTACTGACCCGAAGGTCCGTAGTTCAAACCCGATTTCTGCTCCTCGAGTTCCCCTGTCTATGCTTGGGCAAGCTGACAGTATCACACCCCTCGTGCTTTCTTCTGGTAGCATGGCAGAAAGGCACCGAAAGGATACTATAGCTGAACCAATTTGTCTACGTCTAGAGTAAAGGCGCATGCAAGATTTCATGCAGGTTGATGATGCTCAATATAAGTTGAGGGCTGACGTCTCCATGGCACTGGAATCGTTCTGAGGCTAGAGTCTTGCCCACAAAGAGGCCGTGCAGTAAGAATGAACAAGTGTGTCACAGTGGTCGATGATAGGAATGATATACATGTACGCTATCAGAAAAAGCGGCATGGCAACGACAAGGTAAGAGGATACCTAATGGGCGACGGCAAACGTCACTCGAATGAGAAACGATAATGCGACCATCTCCAGAATCAGCATATGAATGCAGTTCGAACGTTCGAATGCAGGTCGAACGTTTGGAAGATTCGTAAGTCCTTGGATAGGAAAATCCAAGTTTTGCATCCACGAAGTGGATATGCCAAGATAACTTAGTATGTGCGGACAATGTCCTGTTTCCAAAAGTGAAGCAAGTTTCAAAACGATATCTTAGAACTTGAAGTGCGCGCGACATTTTTCGCAGCGCTTATTATGCTGTGAGCTCAAGCTCCTGATCCGCAAGGTTGACTGGATGCTAGGAGCGCTAAAGGTTCTGTTGCAAGTCCTTGCGATCCAAGCTTGAAAACTGACTACATCTGACACTGTGGAGATCATTAACAAAAGTGCGCCATGAATATTAGCTAGTCACTGTCATGCCTCCACTAATCCAAGACGTCGGGCGGAAGATGACATTTTGAGGAAAGACTGTACGACGTGGTCCTGGAGAATTCGCTCAGTTTTGATCATGGTAGTGCGCATCACCTATCAAAGATGGAGAACGTACACGAACAATGAAGAGATCCGTATCGACATCATCAAATTCCAGGGTCAATGACACTGTTATTTCCAATCACGTGTGTGTATTTATCCTCCCATTCAACAGGCTCAGCATTTTTCCCATTTATAATTGCGTTTTCGTTACACAGCTGAACAACAGTAGCGGCAGCAGCGAAACAAAGCAAAACCATTTGAGCATGCATGGCGGTGATAAAAAATGTGGTAAGAGGAGTAGGTTCTATTGAGTCTCTTTCAACGGATGAGGGCCCTAAATGTCCTGCCTGTCATACACGAGACTGTAAGCACCACTCAACGGGATGTTACGACGGTCGTTCTCCTTGGTATAGATCATTAAGAAGTGGGAAAATGATCGTGTAAATCAAATCCAGAATGTGAGTGGTTTAAAAACCTATAAGTGTTTAAGCTAAGATGCCCTGATCACAACTCAGTGTTAGCCCCCATGAAGTTAGTTTAAGATACCGCAAATCGGCAGTGTTACGGTACACAGCTGTCGTACATACTGGGGTCGAGCAATCATGGACAAACAAGGAATTGCTGGTTCAGTCGCTTAGTTGGTGAGCCAACAATACAACCACCAACTTCACGAACATGTTAGTCTATACTGAAAAAGCGACAGGAGCACAAGGGTAACCAGGCATACAAAACAAAGGCTGAAAAAAAGTCTTACATTCGATGTGTACGGATCAGTACCAGGAGGTGGAGACTTCAGTACGTACGCATTTGCACGTTCTTTGGGGCTCTTCAAGTATCTACTGAAGTTTGGTTCCAAATTTGTTGTGGGTCGTATGAGTCTGAAATTGAAGAATTAAATAAACTTTGAAAGATGAACTCACATTGCCCCCTCGGCCTTGCAAAATACGTGAAGCCAATTGATGCAACATCCGCGGTTGTACGGATTCATATCTAGATCGTACTTCGAAGTGACCTGTAGGATGACAAAGGTAGAGTAGAGCTGGAATTATTGTGATAAACTGCGCCGAGTGTTACCATGTGAGTTTTGCGAAAAGGGACGGAAGAACCCTGAGGACAAAAAATCCTAGATCAAACCAACAAACAAGACACTGGTTTCCAGAACAGAAATCGCGCCTCCGAGAAGGCGCTGCCAAGAAGAGATCGAAATCACCCGGCCCAAAAATTAGCGGAAACTCCGCGACAACCCACGACCGGTTTGTCCTTCTTGGGGCTCATCAGCTAGGCGCAGCCTTCGTGTCCCAACTAATCCGATTATCTACGTGAACTACGAACTGTATGTAGTAGAAATATACATCAACCTTCAAAATAACTTAGTACTAACGGGAGGACAACTTGAATCTGTCTTTGACTGTATTCTGCGATCACGGAAGCGCGGGAACTAAGCTGATTTGATGGTCTACGAGAAAGACGAAATGGGTGGTGGGCCATGGAATTGCTTTCAGCAACCTTACAAGTAGTGTTTCGCGTATAAAAGTACGCCGATAAATCATGTGTCCTTTCAAACCAAACAAGAGGTGGCCAGTGTTCCGCAAGTTCAGCTGGAGAGGAGTATAAACGCCACTCTGCTGCTAACGCCAACTTAATTTGCCAATGAGTGTATAGCAGCAGATAAATAATTTTGTGGGATTTTCATGCCGAACAAAGATTCTCGTTCACTACTCGCACACACGCTGCAGCCCGCAACACGTAGCGATAGACTGTATCCGTGCTGCGCCTAGCGCTTGGGAAATCTAGCATGACAGACTGTCCAAATGACAAGGTGAGGGGCACCCCCAGAATAACTATGTGAGTCCCTGGGTTGGAAGAACCATCATCACATACTAATGCCGTCTATTCGTGACGACCGGTATGATAACATTAGGATGTTCACAGGACGAATCTACGCTGGTCCAGGAAATCTGTCGAACACGATCGCCTCGTTATAACAGGGCTTCCTATCAATACACAGCAGGGACACAACCCGAACGCATGAACCTCCGAATGAACATCGGTCGATGCAATGTCAAAACAGGAAAATCCTGGTCATAGATCTGAACAATGGCCCTTCTGGTTTGGAGCTTATGTCTTTACCCCTGGACTATCACGAGATAAGAACATGATCGCCTCTCAGTGGAAAAAATGTGGGTCTCAAGGACATGCAATGCTGTTCATTCTAACACACTTACATCAGACATCCGCTGTTATTAAGCAGACACAAAAATGCAACAAAAAATCACGTCAGCAAGATAGTCGCGTGACCGGTACTGAATTATTGCGACTGAGTGGGTTAATGATTGAATGGATGAACAGTAAACGGTTATGCATATGGAGACAGCATATAAGGAGAGAGTATACAAAGGCTGTGATTGAGGTTTGGAATGACAAAATCAGGACTCTGAGCCAACGGCACATGCATAGCAAAATGGGGGCAACTCAAAATCATTTGCGTCCATTTTCAAACAAAGCTTTTAATGAATATCTAGCAAGGGCATGACATCTAAGGACTGTAAGCTTAAGAGTGATATTAGCTGGCAGGTTTCAAGATACATGTCTAATTATCTTTGTTTTATATTATCCCTAGTCTAAAGCGCTAATACAAGACCACAAAGTAAATCCTAACAAGACCATAAAGCAAAAAATTTGTTCATCCGCCATTGTCGGTGATTTTTCGACGAAATCATTTCATCAGGAGCACCGAGGTAGATTTACTGCGTGAGCCGGGAGTTAATGCATATGTTTTCCAGCTAATCACGCAGCAAAGCTGTTTGCAAATAACCCCTATAAACTTAACCACCCGCCTGTGAGTGAAAATGAGTAAAGTCAGTCACCGATCGCTGAAACCCATTCATAATAACGTCCCGAGTATCCCCGNTGCATATGTTTTCCAGCTAATCACGCAGCAAAGCTGTTTGCAAATAACCCCTATAAACTTAACCCCCCGCCTGTGAGTGAAAATGAGTAAAGTCAGTCACCGATCGCTGAAACCCATTCATAATAACGTCCCGAGTTTCCCGTGTTGTCTATCGGAAAAGAAAAACACTTTAGAACCGAGTGCGTGAACAGTAGTGGTAATCAAGTCAACCTATCATAACCAAAAATGCTCACGAAAACCCCGTTACAGCTCAATGTCAATTTAGCAGATATAATATAGTCTAACCAAAGTGCAGTTCCAAGTAATTGCATGCATAAAACCCAAAGCCCTCTCAGTCCCATTTGCTTGTTTGTTCCTATCCAAACCTTGTAACCCCTCGGTTGGCACCACATGATCCCCATGGACACCTTCCGAACCACTTGATATCCTATCCAAGGTAGATTGAAACACGCGCTTTGATTTTTTCGAAAACACTGTTTATTCAAATGCTTTAGCCAGATAGCTAATTTGACGCGAATAAGGAACCACATGCCAAATGAATCAACAGTGAAGCCGACTGAGGGTTAGCGGATTTTGGAAACCGTGAAATAGTCTGTGGTCCGAAAACATAGGTAAAACACCTCATTCAAGGTAAATAAACATCGCCATATGCTGTTCAATCACTGACCCCTGGTTGGTCAAGTCTGAACGACGCTAAAAATTACCACTCCCGTCGCAGTAAATTCTATCTTGACGTTATTCATCCATACCATTTTCGCAGAAAGGCTAGAACGCTTCAGACACATTTTCCAAGCCTTATTGACTTCAGCTCTGGTCAGTTCCAGTTCTGTCAACTGGAACTACTAGCTAGACGAAGGACAGGAGGAATTGTAGGCAATTGGAACAGACATCAAAGCCAGAAGTATGAGGAATCAAGCTTTCTCTTGAATCGAGCGATCCCACCAGCCGATTGTGCTCAAGCGGCGGATATTGGTGCACCGGCCAGTCGACATTAATTTGTAGGGACACAGTTAACCGTACTCAGTGCCACAACCATTGTTGCATTATTATTAACACTGGTTGTTACTTGCGCATTCATCCTTTCCTCAGATGACGGCAACCGAAAGCCACCACCGCGCACCATCAAACCAGCCAGGATCAAACTACGTGTTCCAGCGGTCAGGCAGACCGCTTGACTGACCCGATAACTTCGCGTGAGCAAGAAAAGTAATGCTCCTCCATCGGTAGGTTACTTCACCCCCGCATCCCTCCATCTTTCGTTACGAGCGGAGAACAAGCCACATGTTGCAAACAGCCGCCAAGTCATCACGAAGGAATAGACCAATTCAGTGGAACACGAACGCACATACTATTACGAACCACAAGCATCTCCATTATAGATAAATGAATATTCCATATTTGATCAACTTTGGGCGTTTAACCAAAGATTTCACCTCCGCCGTGACCAAGACAAAAACAAGATACCCTGAGGCGTACGGCAAAACGAACGCAGTGAATAGGCCAACTCATGTGTGAACAATCATCCCATCCGTTGTCAGACCCTGTGGAAATTGCAGAATGGGCCTTGGACTCCGAACACCTATTGTATCAAGGCATTCTTTGGATGTACCAGCAAGTGTCGCCGTCGTATGGATATCTGCAGAAACGACCACTCAGTGTATATTCAAAGTGATGGGGACAAAGCACATCCAAGATCTGCTTGTTTCTAGCCGAGAGATGAGTAGCAGAACATTGGCAACAAACCTAGTGCCTACAGATGAGGTCATCAGTGGTGTTTTCGTCTTCCAACATTAAAATAATGTCACACATACAAAATATTTGAATGTTCACTCGGTTCGGGCCATTTAAACTTATACAAAAGTAGAGCAAATGTGCCAAATCGGTACCGGGTAATCAGGATGAAAACAAGGTGGCTTTTTATAAGGGGAACTACTTACGAGGTTGACAACCCACGACCGGTTTCGCCCCTCTTGGGGCTCATCCGACAGGCGCAGTCTCCGAGTTTCCATCAATCTTATGTTCTACTTGAACCCAAAATGGACTGATTTCGACAAATTTACTCATTTGCATTTCAATTTGGTCTTCAGAGGTTCAACCGAATCGCTTGTTTATGATATTCTTCAAGTGAATGTGCTTCACACAGGCCGCCTCATGTTTAAGTTGATAAGATAATCGAGATATCGAAGCATATTTTCGCAAAGGAAACTACTCACAAGGTTTCTGTCGAACAGTTTTCAGCAACCCTGCAAGTAGTTTCTTCTCAAGATACTACTAATCCTAACAGATCGCATTGTCCGGCCGCAAAACTAAGGGTAACATGGAGCATCAAGGAATTCGGTTTTGTACCACGCAAACTGTTCAACAGTTCTCCAGCAATTGTAATGAAGCGAGACAAGAGGTTCTGTCCGTTCGCAAAACCGGTGAGTTTTCAGACGAGCGTACCAACGAATTTGTCAGAAAATACAGATGATTATGAGTAGAAAAAGTCTCCAGTGTATTGCCAGGTCGCATACGCATAGGTGAGTTGTACATTGAAAGCAAACCAGCTTATTTCGATACAGCCTTCCGTTTACTCCTAAAGATAAGAAGAAAAGCTTCGAGTTGAAGGAAACTAGAGACTGTGGGGCTCCCTAGGTATCACTTCATGTGTACAAAAGGCGCCAGTACTCTACAAAGAACGCTTAATAAAGCAGTTACCCAGCGAGAAGAAACGTGGAGGATCACACCAACGCCTGTGTATGAATTTGCACGTTTGAATGCACATTCGAATTTATTGCAGACCTGCATACTAAAAACGTTAGAGAGGGGAACACAAACGTATACAACGGAGTCGAGTCCGGGGTAGATACGAGCTGTGTCATAAAACACATCAATACCCAACAGCCATGTTCGGGGTCAGCGCAGATCTTCATGTTAGGTCTCACTGGAACGTCAGTTTCGCGCACTTTCAGCTAACACCTCATTCCGAGCGTTCACATTGCTCTATTCATAATGATTGCGCTCCCGTAATACACCCCCAGAGGAGCGGAATAGAAAAGTTTAGTCATCTGTGTCTCAAGCAGAATGTCGTTTTCCGGCGCAATATTGGGTTACGATTTCTG